CTGCAACCTCACCCAGCTAATGGGCTCGTGGACCCCCGGCACCTCCATCTACACCACGTGTGGGGGATTCTGTGCTCTCTGTGCCCAACAGCCATCACAGCCCACCACCCCAAAAGTCTGGTCTTTGAATTCTGGGTCCACACTAGCATCTTAGCGAGCCTCAGTCACCTACAAGCTGGTGACAAGGACAGTTCTGCCTGCTCACCCACATGGGAGAACTGGAAGGAGTCTCCTGGTTTCTGCATGGGCATTTGAGGAGGGAACCAGTGGGTAGCACCGCTCTTGACATTGACAGGGGTGTGGAGTAGGGGGGAGAGCAGGGAGGCCACAGCCACCACAGGGGATCAGGAAGGGAGCAGGTCTGGTCAGCTGGCTGCTCCTCACTTTGGGACTGGCCTGATAGATAGCAGGTGCTGTGAGGCTCTGGCTCAGCCGGCCTGCCCTGGTCTCCATAAGCACTTCCTTCTGGGTACCTCTGGCTGCCCTGGTCCCTTCCAGCCTGATCTTTCGTCCACTTGGCCTCCCAACCCCTTGCCATCATGAGCCTGTGGCCTTGTCCAACTCATTGTGCCTGCTGGCCCTCAGTCTCCCCATCTATAAAATGGGAAAACAGCTGGGTTCTGGACAGGATTCCAGGGGTTCCTGCAGGGGGAGCAGGCAGAGGCCTGGCTTCTCAAAAACCAGAAGTTCTTACCACCTGAGCTTTCCATCTGCAAATTGTTTATTCCTTCTGGAAGTTTCTTGCCTCTACCCAGAAAGTGCCTATTAGAACTGTGATGGAGACAGAACAGCAACAAAAAAACAGCTCCCTTCACCTTTTCCTCCCCAAAGCCTCCTCCTCTTACTTCCCTTCGAATGGCAGGAGTAGGCACAGATGGCGTGGGAGGGGGACAGCCAGCGTGCCCAGCTCCAGGTGGTTGAGGGCAACAGCCGGAGCCTCACTTCCCAGCGGGGCCCCTTCACACCTCAGCTCTGTTCCTGCCTGGGAAAGCTCAGACACACAAGCTCACGCCTGCCGCCGGCCCGGCGGGATGCCGGCACTCGGGGACGGGGGACGGAACGGGAATTTTAACAAACAAACAGGCGTGCTGAGTTTTCCGCGTCTGGCTTGTTGAGGCTTCGAATCAATCAGCGAGACTCCAGCAGGCGAGCGGGAGGAGTGTGTGGGCGTGCAGGCCTGAAGCTGCCCCTGTGGGGGCGACTCCGTGCTCAGCCCTATTTCTGGTGAGGCTGGCTTGGCGCTGAAACCACGGAGGGCTGGTTGGGTGGGGGGAGGGTGTGCCCAGGGCATTGAGATGGAGGCAGAGGCGCAGGAGGACCACACAGCCACGACAGTGGACAAGGAAAACTCCCAGATGCACACTCTGGGCCATGCTCTGTGGGTTTTCAGGCCCCTGAGGACGGGAGTCGGGATAGGGGTGAGGCTGGGGGTGAATGGTTGGCACAGTGTGCCAAAACTCTGCTTGGAAAGCCTACATCTAAACACCTGGGTTTGAGTCCCAGCTTGCTTCCTGCTGCTGCATGCCCTGGGAGGCAGGGGACAGCACACGACAGCTTGGGTTCTGGCTCGGCCCTGTGGGAGAGCCAGACCCCCGGGGCTTGGGCCTGGCTCAGCTCTGGCTGCTATGGATAGGTGGAGGAGCGGGCCAAAAGATGGAAAACTTCTTTCCCAGTCTCTGCCTTTCAAATAAAAAAGCAAAATAAACACACACACACACACACACACACACACACACACACAAGTCCCACGGGCTCTTCGCTCCTGGGTCGGACGTGGGCCTGTGGAGCTCATGCGAGTACCGGGAAGTGCATGTGGTGGTGAACGAGGCAGGCTTTCGGCTCTCACGGGGTTGAGGGTGGGGCATGTGATGAGGCTGACAGCTCTGCTGTGGCCATGACACCTGTGGTCACACTGTGAGGGTGGGTGGCCAGTTGCCAGGGTGGGTTTTGTACAAGGCAGCACCAGCAGGCTGGACCCTGGCCTGGAGCAGCCTTAGCTTTGTAAACATTTGGGTTGGGAAGGAAATGTGTGCAGTGTTAACCTGAGGGAGGGCTTGTGCCAACACCGACTGTGCCCACTTAAAGAACAGCAGTGCCCCAGGCAGAGGGACCAGCACAGGCTTATGGGAGAAGAACACAGCAGCCAGACTGTCCCTAGCCCTTCTGGGTCCCCAGACACTGGAGGAGCAGCTAATAACGGTGCAAGTGCTGGCAAGGGGGAACAGGAAGTGAGCAGGCATCTGAGGCTACACACTCCTCCCCTTCCTTGCAGCTATGGGACCCACATCCCCTGCTGCACCTGTCCCAGCCTCAGCTCCCACATCTGTTGGGCAGCTGTGTGGCCACCTGCCCTGGAGAATGACAGAGCTGGCCTGCAGGATGCTTGGTGCGGAGCCTGGGGCATCAGCCCTGCCCCAGGACGGAGACCCCTGCTCGCCCATCCTCAGCAAGGGAGCAGCCTGGTTCCTCGGGGAGAAGGGCATGTCAGGTGTCATCAGGATCTGTCCCCTAGCCACCCTAGCCTTGGGCTCTTCCTGTTCCTCAGGGACACTTCTGATATTCCCAGAAATGGACACCCTCAGGCCAAATGAAGTCTAATTGCACCCCCAGAACCACACCAGGGCCCAGCTAGGGACCCCGAGATCCTGCTCCAGACCACACAGCCAGACACAACCATGGGCGAGACTTAATCCTGAGCCGCAATTCCAAGCACCCAGGGACCCAGGGTCTGAGAGGGCACAATGCTTCCTGGTATCTAAAGGTTTCAGGTCAGTCCTTCCCTGCCATCACCAGGTCCACTGCAGGACAGAACCAACAGGTAAAGAAGCCGGCAGTGACTTCCCTGGGGCCATGGACCTGGTGAGATACCCAAGGCTGGCTGCCCTTACAGCGCCTTTGCTCACTCTCCCCTCTGCCTCATCACCCTTTCAGGGCCACTGCTATCTTTATTTGGGCTTCTGTTCCATTACTGCCTCCTCCAAGAAGCTCTCCAGGTCCACGCTGAAGAAATTCACTCCAGCCCCCATCCCCCCACGCTCACACCATCCCGTTGTGTCTTGTTCTCATGCCGAGCCCTCACAGGCAGACAGCTTTGCGAGATGTCTCCCTTCAGCAGCATCGTCAGCCTCTCTGGGTTACCCCCCAGTCACCAGCCCCTGGTGGGCCAATACTCACTCTATAGGAAAAGTATCCATTGGGGGTGAAATCGGGCTCCAGGCAAAGCTGCATCGCACACCCAAGGAAGCTACAGAGCAGGATCCCAACCTCTGTCATTCCTGCAGGAGGCTGCACCCAAAGACCACACAGCTCCCGGCATGCTATGGGCTCCGGTCGCCTGGTAGAACCACCAGCAGGTGGATTTCCCCCAGACTGCCCTGGAGGTACGACAAGCCCACCCCTTCAGTGGGAACCCCAGCTTGCATAAAGAGCTGACAGGGGACACCCCTACAGTGCTGGGGAAATCATTCCAACAGGGGACACCCTAGCTAGGGCGCTTCCTTCCTCCTGGCTTGCGGAGGGGAGGGGCGCTTAGCGCTGATCCCTACAGAACTTTTGGCCTAAGTCACCTCCTCTACCAGCTCAGGATGAAAACACGAAAAAGCCAACATGGAAAAGCTCCTACACCTTTACCCCCCACTTTCACGAGTCCTCCAACAAGTTCTCACCGACAGCAGTCGGCTGGGGCACAGTGATTGCACACTGTTCTTATGCCCCGTTCTAACAAGCAGCGTACCATAGCACAGGCGCACAACACACCTTTCCCCTCCAGCTGGTGCAGTTCTATATTTGTACACAGGAAAGTATAGACCAGGACCGGCTGGGTAGGACAGCCTTGTGCGCACCGGAAAGCATGAGCGCGCGCGCACACACACACACGCACGCACGCCACTGGGCTTTTTGTAATTTCCCACGAAGGCTCCTGGAAAGAGGTGGTTAGAGTGGGGTCAGCAGGAGGTCACTTTCCAGGGGTGTCGCTTGCCTGCTCTTAGCCCCTGCCAGGAGCCGGCGCCTCCCCGGAAGCCATCTGCATTCCTCCTCCTCCTCCTGGTGCCCAGGCACCAACACAACTCCCATTCCTCACACAAGGAACAACGAACACCGAGGTGCAGGGACCAGTCCAAGGTCACGAGGCTAAGAAAGCGGAGTCAACCGGGTTGACCTGGGGTCTGGCCAGGCCCGTCTGCGCACACACACCTCACCTCCAGTCCACGCCCACCACCACCACCAACTTCAGCTCCCGGAGGCAGAGCCATGCCCACCTGACCCCCCTTCCCAACTCAGAGTCCAGGGTCAAGTGCCCAGCTCGGCTAAATTCGGGCGTCCGGCCACTGTTGCAGTCACTTCCCTGCGGGCAGCGCAGCCTCCCGGCGTGCCCCGCCCCAACCGGGATGCGGGGCACGCAGCCTCTGCGGTCCTGGGAGTCCCGGGAGCGAGCTCCGAGGAGGACGCCGGGCTCCAGGCAAAGTGCGCTGCGGGCGGGCGCTGCCTCGCTTGGCCTCCCGGCTATCCGAGGGGATGGACACAGCTGAGCCCATTTCGCCGGCTGTAGGGCGAAGCCAGGCGCGGAGATGCCAACTCTGATGCCTAAGGTCACATACAGGCGGGGAGCACCAGAGCCGGGCTCTCCCCCAGATCCGCCCGCTTTCAAAACTTTCAGTCCCTGCGTGGCACGAGCCCAAACTACTCGCAGGTGCAGGACGCGCTCCAGCGGCCAGACCTCGGCGCTCGCTCTCCGGGCGGGCACGCCGCTCCGCGCTCGGGACGCCTGGGCCCCTGCCTGGCTCCACCTGGCAATTCCCGGCCGAGGCTGCCTAGGTTGGGCGGCTGCGGCGACGCTGGGTATCGCCGCAGCCCACAAAGTGCCCGGCGGGGACCCATTTGAAGGAGGGAGAGACTGAGGCGCAGAGAGGGCCAGCCACCCGCCCAAGGTCACAGAGCACGGCGGCACGAAGCCCGACGACCTAGTGGGGGTCCCCACAGGGTCCCCGCGAGGTACTCACAGCCTGTCTTGCCTTCCAGCTCCCGCACCTCCTCGGACGCGGAGTGGGCAGCTCCCATGGTGCCCGCGGAGGGAACCCTCGGGACGCACGTCCCTCGCAGGCCTCCGGCTGCCTCGGCTGCGCAGCGGACGCTTCGCTCTCGGGTCCTCGGTGGGTCGGCACGCCGGGAACGCCTCGGAGCCGCGGGTTCCGCGTGGGGCCCGAGCTCAGCCTCATATAGCGGCGGCGGGAGCGCGCTGCGGTCCTAGCGCACGCCGGTTTCGCGCACTGCGGGGCGTGGGCAGCGCCCCGCCCCGGGTGCCGGAAGCCTCGGGGAGGGGGCCGGGAGCCCCAGGATGCGCTTCCCGAAGTGGTGCTCGGGCCTGTGGGTACGGGCGTCGCGCCTCGTCCCTCCTAGCTCTAGACAGAAGCTGGTACGTGGGTTGGAGTGCACACACCCTCACCTCCCACCATAGCGTGCACAGTAGCGGAGCTAAGCAGGGAAACCTCTGGGGCAGCAAGGGTGCTTGCGCATTAATTAGTTCCATGATGAGCACCGGCGATAATCATCAGGTTCAATGAGCATCAGGTGCTCCGCTCGGCCGATTCCAGGAAAGACCCCGCCCCCTCCCAGCACCTTTTCCAGGTGTGCACACCCAGGTGAAGGCTTTGTCCTCCCACCCGCAGGCCGCTCCGCCCACCCTGAAAGAACTTGATTCCCCAGGAAACTGCCAGAAAGCAAGCCTTGGGGGCGGTGCCCAGACCCTCCCTGGGCTGCTCTGCATCTGGTTCAGGGCTGAGTGACCCTGGCAGGGCCTGCCACCTGCCTCACCACTTGCCACCTCCTTAACACGGACGCACATTGATGAGCTGCTCAGCAAAGGGCCTGGCACAGACCCAGCACAGGGTGACACGGGATTATGTCCACCCTTGATGTCAGAGCTGAGGCTCTGAGAGGCTACGGAGTCAGGTGGACGTTCAAAGACAAAACCAACCAGGCCAGGCCATGACTTTCCCCTGGACATGCTCTATGTCTGTCTTGGATGCCAGGTTCAGTGCTGAGTGTTGGAGTTGGGGCATAAGTTTCATAGAATTCACCTGCTGAGCGGCTGGGGGGGGGGGGAGTTGGTGGAGGGGCAGTCTGCCTTCATCAGTTTCCCAGGACACTGGAGAGGGCGATGCTGGGGAAGGGTGGCCGTCCATTCCTGCAGACAGCAGGACCAATCATGGCCATTTCTGGATACCCTGCGGAGCCACCAGGGGGCCCTTCAGCCCTGCTAGAGCAGCATAACAATTCCTACCTGGTGGAAAATGCAGCTTCCCATGCTGCCCTGCTGATATCCACTGCCAGAATGTCGGCCCTGGGCATCGGCTGGCCTGGGCATCGGCTGGATGGCTGGCCCAAAGATCATGCTTTGTGTTGGAGGACTCTAGGAAGCCAGATAGACCTCTGGGGCCAGAGGAGGAGTCTGCAGGCTTGCTGGAAGGTCGTGGTCCTTGAGTCAGTCTGCGACACCTGCTGGGAACAAATTTATTACAACTTTAAATACCAGCTAGTTCCTGGCTTATATTTGGGTGGGGGGGAGCAGGTGGGGGAAAAGACAAAACAGAGACAGAAAGAGAGATGTGCCACTTACAGGCTCCCTTCACTGCAGCCTTCAGGGCTAAGCCCGGTGGAAGTGAGCAACCTGGAGCTCCATCCCACTCTTCCATATAGTGGCAGATTTCATTACGTGCACCATCACCCGCTGCCCCTTAGGACGTGCATTAGCAGGGAACTGGAATTGGCAGCAGAACCCGGCTTTGCATGCAGGGGCTCCAAGGCCTGTCTCGGCTACGGGGCCAAACGCTGGCCCCAGGTTCCTGGAGCCTGAGATGGTGCAGATGTGTGTGAGGGGATAACGGGGCAGCGGCAGGGGCATGCAGCTTCTCCCTGCCCCTCCTGTGTGTGAGGGCCCGTCTCTAGGATACGGGGATCTGGGTTTTTACTCCAGCACCCATCTCTGGGAACCCGTGGCCATCTGTGGGCGCCTAGACAGGTCCTCTCTTGCTTCTTTCAGTCCTCGGGAGCATCACACCATCCTCCACAGGGTCCTCTGCCACTCCCTGGGTCGTCCTGGTGTGTGATGACCAAGGCACATGTTTCTGCCATTGCAGGGCTGGCAGGACTCATCAGCACTGAGCTCCTTGTGGCGGCACAAACCCGATGTGTGCATTCGTTTGCTCAGCCATCCATTCACTGAGGGACGGCTGCCTCCAGGACCCTGTTCTGGGCAGCACCCTGTTCTGTGCTCTGCCTTCCTTTCCTGGCTGTGAAGCTTGCCCAGTGTGGGTTGGGGTGGGGTGGGGTGTGGGGTGTGGGGTGGGAGGGCCTGCTGCAGCTCTGCGTGGGGCGTGGCAGGGCCGCCGGGCTCGCTGTCTGCAGCCCCCGGTGGGGTGAGCTCCCTCCAGTCACACAGCATGACCTTCCTGTCGAGGGCCTGCAAACAGTCCGGTCACCAGGCAACTGCCTCTCCTCTCTGGCTGATTCAAAGCCGTCGCGGCTGTGGTTCCCATGGCTGGGATCTGGGACATCACTAGGCAGCAGGATCCTTGGTCCTCCTGCCTCCTTAAGCCTTGGTTTCCCCATCTGTAAAACAGCAGGGACGGCAGGGCCTTCCGTGTGGGGGTGGCCATGAGGGTCAAGTGTGGAGAGCAGTGTCCCACAGAGATCCATGCCCCTCCCTGCAGCCTCTGCCCTGCCTGTGTTGGCAGCATTCCCCTCACTGCCCACTGTAAGCCACTGGGAGTTTCACGACAGGCTTGCAAGGTTGCTCTGTGTTGCACAGCTGGCTGCTCCAGCCCTGCTCTACATCATCCTGTTGTGGATGCGACTCCTTCCTTCATTCATGTGTTCACCATGTAGTGCCTGGGTCCCGCAGTGAAGGACACAGCCCTTGACCAAGCTCAGGGAGCCCAGACACTGGGAGAGATAAAAAGGGACCAGCCAGGTGCTCTAGCACCAGGTAACCACTGTGGTTCCAGCCACTGGGAGCCCTGGTTGAGAAGTGCAAGGCAGGCACCTCTACCGGTGGGAGAACTATGGTGCTCAGAATGGGCTGTGGGTCCATCAGAGTACAACCTTGCAATTGTCTAGGAGCAGGTACTGCAGTATACTTGTATACTGTATACAAGTTCCTTGTATACTGAGGGTGGGGTAACACCCACAGAGCACTGATGCTCTAGCAGCAATGAGACCCTGCTCTTCCTCTCGTGGCCACTTACTCCAAGAAATCTCTGAGGGTGCAGCTGCAGCTCAGCAGGTGAACCCTCTGTCAGAGATGATGCCCAGATCAGAATGCTTGCTCAAGTCCCAGTCACTCAGCTTATGACCCAGATTCCTGCTCGTAGCCTGGGAAGGCAGCAGAAAGTGGCTCAGAGTGCTTGGGCTCCTGCCAGCCCCGTGGGAGACACAAATGGATTTCCTTGAACTTGGCTTTGGCCTGGCCCAGCCCTGTCTGCTGCAGGCATTTGGAGAGTCAATCACAGAATAGAAGATTCTCTCTATCCGTGTGTCTTCCTCCAACAAAAGCAAAAAATTTACGAGGACTCTAAGTGCCATCTTGCTAGGACTCCACCCTAGAGCACCCCACCTCCTCTAAACCACATCAAGCACTGACCAGTGACATGCTCGTCACGTGCCATCCAGGGCGGGAGACCCAGCAGGTGTGTTCCCGCCCCTGCTGTGGCTGGGCCATGGGCAGGGTTCCCCATGAACTCATACAGGTTTCTTACACTGACCTCATACACCTTGACCATCCCAGCGTCCCCACTGTCAGTCTGCATCCTAAACGGAAGTTGTCCTCTCTGGTCATTCCGTCCTCTTGAGATCTGCCGGTTTGATTTCCCAGCTGACTTTGGAGCACAGCTGGACTCGGATCCAGGTGCTCGCTGCCACTCCCTGGCTGTGTGCCTTTGGCTTGGATCCACTCCTGCTGTCACCCTCGATATTCCCATCTGTAAAATGGGTGTCTAGGGGTAGGTGGGAGGATCCAGCAAGGAAGAGAGGGCTGGCATGCACACTTTCTGCTGCTTCCTATTCCTGCCCTCGGGGGCAGGGGAGGTTATTCAGAACATTCTCGCAGCCTGCCTCCTGCTAACCGTCTCTCCTGTTTCCCTGATTCCGAGTGGGACTTGCCCTGGAAACCCTGGCCAGTGCCCATCCCCTAAATCATGTCCAGTCTTGAGTTTCAGGAATTTCAGCATAGTAGCTCCTTCTTTCTACTCCAGAGAGCTTTCAACTCAACCCTGAGCTGGGTAAGGGAAGTCCTCTGATGGCCTGGCACGAGGGGGGATCCCCCTTCCGGCTATCTACCTAAGCTCCTCACACCCCCAGAATCAGAGACATGCCTGCTGCCCCTCTCAGCACCGCTGCTGCCACCAGCATCTTTGCCTCGACCTCCAGCTGGGGACAAGTGCTCAGACCCTGGGGGATGCAGCTCCATGGGAGGCCTGGATGACTGTCTAAAAATAGAAAGGAGACAGGGGCTTGTGGGGGAGGGCTGCTTGGGCAGGGTTCCTATTATTTATTTAGTGACCAGTTCTCGCAAACCGCAGGCTTGCTCTGGATGGGTTTCAAGCTCTCAACACTGTTGTCCAAGGAATGAACTGATCGGAGAGCTGCCAGAGGTGGCAGGGGCCCAGAAGCTATTTTAACGGCACCCTTGCCTTACATGGAGCGTTGAGGGCACGCTTGGTGCAGGATGGGTGGCCCTTGAAAGAGCCATGGATGATGGCACTGTGAGCAGTCTGTTAAGTGTGATCTCCCACCAGAGGGGCCTCCACGCCAGCAGGGGGCATCCCTTCCCATTCAACAGCACCTGTAAGGGTCACAAGTCTAAGACCGTGTCCCCTCCTGGAGGCCCCAGGGGCAGCAGCTGCTGTCTCCCATTTTTCAGGGTGGGCAGGGTGCCTACAGGCCCATGGCTAAGTCCCACACAGCAACATCACGTTCCCAACCCTGACCTGGAGCCTCCTTTCCTAGGCAAGGTTTCTAAAGGTCAACTGATTTGCAACCCCACTTCCCGAACATCTTCATCTGGGGTCAAAGGACCTGCACAGCCAGCAGGAAGAGATCCCGCGGGGTCACCTCCATGGCCATGAATGTGTAGAGACTGCAAGGGACAGCCAGGTCCCAGCATGTTCTCTGCTGTCACAATTG